GCTCGAAGCGGCTCCCGCCCCGGGGCTCCAGGCTGCTGCCGTCCGCGCGGCGAGGCCGCGGCCCGTAGGAGTCCGCGAAGGCGGCCAGCTCGTCCATGGACACTGCGGGCACGCCCCCGGCGAAGCTCTTCCTGGACAGCATCTCCGACTTGCAGCGCTGCTGGCTGCGGGCAGAAGAGAGACATGGGTCAGGGGACCGCGGGTCACAGAAACCGCACCCTGCCGAGTTCAAGGCGGGGAGACTGAGGCCGGCCTGCGAGAGTGCCCTCAGCGGTCCCCGGGACCGGGCTGTGCACGGTCATCTTATGCCCCCTCCCAGCGCCCCGTGATGCATCAAGGGAGGGCGACCCAGGCTACCCGATGAGTTTGTGAGAAGGAGCTGCCTGGCTAAAAACGCTGTCTGGGCTACTCAGCGCTGAAACACACGGCGAGGGCTTCTGATCACTAAGATGGGACCTCTGGGTGATACCGCACATCTCATCACCCCACTCGCTAAGCCAGCCAAGTGGCGAAACACCCCGAAGTCTCTGGAATATATGTTGACACATAAACAGTCCTGTTCCTCCTTCAGGGCCTAAGGCCAAGTTACCAGGCAGGAGGCCAGAGAGACCCTTGCAGTTGGTAAGGAAAAGGTGATGTCTACCGACCTTCAAGGTAAAGGACAGGTGAGTGGTGAAGGTGCCATTCAAGAAGAAATGGTCACAAAAACTGCCAAAATCTTGGCCTTCCCTATTCAATGGTCTTAACACCCTTGGTGAGTTCCCGAACATCTGGAAATTTGTATTTCCCCAATTTAAAACGGGGACATTAGTAGTAGCTGTCTTTTGAGTTGTGAGAATTGAATGCAGCAGTGTGTTGGCATTTTACCGCTTACCTGACAAATGATCAAAAATGATGCACGTGATGGGCGGAAGTGTTAGAGGTTATAGGATAAAGAATGTGAGGAGGGCAGAGATATGTGAGGGTTCCTTGAGGGGCCTATGGCACACATGTTCAAAAGGCCTTAAAAGGCTTCTTCTACCACGGGCGACACAAGAGTCCCCTTGCTTAATGAATGCAGGACGGGGCCACTCCATAGCCTATACAAAGAGATGTGGCCAGGCAGCACAGGATGGAAGACATACTTGTACATAACGAAAGGCTCAGCTTTAACTTGCCTTCTGCTCTGGCCCGCTCATACCCATCACCTGTGCCGGAAGCTTTCCCGGTCGTCTTTGTTATATTCCACAGCTGAGGGTCCCCGGCTCGCCCCGCTGCCGCTTCCCATGACACCTGACCAGTAGTCAGGATTGCTCTCCAAGTCCCCAGACACAGGGAATGGCTTGCTTCGCATCTGATGGTACGATTGGCGGAAGTTGCTGTCCTCCTCGTGCAGGGAGCTGAGTTCTGAGATGGTGTTGTTATCTGTAGAGACAAAACCAGGCATGACAGAGCTTTCTGCATGGTAGACAGAAAGGGGGCTCTGTTCAGGCACTGAGACCTGAGGCTGCAGAAGTCCCACTCGAGGGGCTCAGGTCCATCTGCCCCGGGTGGGCTGTGGACCTGCACTAGTGGTAGAATTTGTGTTCTCGGCTCAGCAGGGACTGGCTCCAGTTCGAAGCCTACTGTTTATAGAAATGGAGGCTTCCTACGTGCTCTGTTCTTGGAATAAGAGAACAATTGTTTTTGTTCCACCTAAGGCAGGCTTCCCAGAACTCCGGCTCTCTGCAGCTGGCCTGCTAGTACATCATCATCCTTGTTCAAATGTCTTTCTTGGTCCTGTATAATTCTGTTGATGAGCCATGATGATCCCAGGCATGCTGGGCCAAAAGGAACCAAAAAAGAGAAGCCACAATACCCAGCATCTTTCCTACCAGTGCAGTCCCGAGTAATGGGGCCTTCAGAGTCAGTACTGCCACATGCTTTAGAGGAACCTTAATCTGCCCTCCCTGCATAGCAAAAAGTCCACAAGGTCAAGGAGAAGTGTATACCTCAACTCCTTTTAAAGGAGAAGGAGAAGTGTCCACACAACTCCTTTTAAACCATGCTCATCCGGGAACCTGGACTATCCTGCCCAAGTGGTACCAAGTCCACTTCTGAGGCCTGGGTAAACTGCTTCCCTTCCTTAAAGAGTATTTCTAGTGTGCCAGTTGTCTGGAGATGTGAGAAGTAAAGGGGGTGACTGGACCCTCTGGCCTGGTCTCCATTTACGCTCAAGTGCAAGGGCAGTGTCTAGTCACAGCTTTCTTGTTTTCCTAAGTAGCTTTAATTTAATTTTTTTTTTTTTTTTTTTTTTGCAAAGCACCTTTGAACAAGAACCAGAATCACGGTCTAGAAAGAAAAGAAACTACTTATAGAACTTTGAAATGCATTGAATTTCATTGCACTTTAAAAATAAATCTAGTGAACTTGTTTGCAATGTAACCAAACCCATTTGTTTCCTAAAATTGTTTTCATTAAGACTTCAAAATATTATTTAAAACAACACTTACTAAGTTTAAGGCAGTCAAGGGAGAGATAAGCAAAGACCTGTGAAACAGAAATGTGTGTCTCAAGTTCCCCTCTGCCCCCACCCCACCCAATCTCCAACAGTCTTGGGAGGAACAGAGAATTTTTGCACATCAAAGAGAGGGAGTCTCACACCATACACAGCCTCCTAATGACACAGCTTTTACCATGGGCGCCACTCACTTTAATCATGCCGTTAGTTGGTTTCTGAATTATAATTTGATTTTTAAAACTTTTCTCCCTCTCAAGGAGAATGAACTAGTTTGCACCTATTTTAAAGGAAAATAACTCAGATCCTACTGGTTAGTGAAAGCTTATACTATTCCCTGTCGTGATTCACATGAATTACAATGTCCTTAGGAACTGTATAAAAAAGAACTTTAAAATGGGCCAAGTGGGACACTGAAAAATAATACTGGCTTAGCTCTCTCCTTAAACTTCGGGGATGCTGTGCTTACCCTTTTTGATTTCTGCAGATAGGAAGGGCTATCATCACAATTTCATAACTGGCTGGGATGTATGTTTCACTAAAATTTCTGCCATGGTGAACATGAACTTCAACATTCCTGACTTCATAGACATCCAATAGTATAACTGTAGGCAAACATTTTCTGTATTTTAGGCACTGCGAGCCATTCTGTTAAAACTATTCAATTCTGCCATTCTAGCATGAAAACAGTCACAGATAATACATAACTGAATTGGCATGGCTGTGTTCCAATAAAACTTTATTTACAAAAACAGAAATTTGCACCTCCTTGGCCTGGGATTTCATCTACTGACCCCTGCTCTAGGAATTATCAGGCTAAAAAATCCCAAAAGCTACCCTCCACATGAAGACAAGGCAAATAAGGCCGTACTGGCTAGCAAATTCATGAGTCTGGACCTCAAACTCCTAATTCTTATAAAATCTATGACTTCCCTGCCCTAACCTGAAACCATGAGATTCATTTTACAAAGAGATTTTTCAAGATGGTCCCATTCCGTGATTTACCCTAGAGTTTACTGTGCTCTTCAGAAATAGAATCAACATCTGGAAACAGAGTGAACTATATTGCTACTTCATTTCCATGCAGCTACTGTAGTGCTAGCAGGTGCCAGGTGATCTAGGTTCAATCCTGGTACTGGCCTTGAGTACTGACCCTAGTTACTATCCCTCTCTGTCTCATTCATCCTCTTCTGTACAATGAAGGAGATGGATTTAACAACCTCAGAAGTCCCTTTCCGTTCCAGCATTTCGGGAGCCCTATATGAGCAAGAAGGCCATTAAAAAGGCCATGGTTTCAGTAAAACTACAGCCATAGAGCCATCAAGTTTGCTCAGAGGTATCTTGTGCTAAGATCATGAGGCTGGGACTCAGAAGAGCTGGGTTCTACTCTGCATTCTGTCACTGCACCCCTCTGACCTTCTGTTTCTTCAGTGTGTACACTGCAAAGGTTGACCTAGCCCTCTCTAAGGTCCCCTTCAAAGCTAAGACCCACTGTCTTATAATGAGCTAGCTGACCCCTGGAGACCATTTTAGTCAAGACAGTCAGACAGGAGGCATAACCTAAACTATTCTTTCATTTTGATCTTAGTTTTTAACCCCACCCCACCCCCACTGGTGAGATTCAGTGGATACCCTTGATCCCTGACTCTGTCTCTGGCCCCTTACGGGGATCCATGACAACACTGTTACAACTAGCTCGTCAAGTGCAGTGACATCTGCATTCCTGACATTGCAATCTGGAGATGGTCTTTTTATAGTCCCTGCGGTGGGAGGATGCAGCAATGGGTGCAACACAGACAGGATGAATTTAGAATTGCAAACTGGGTGGAATATGTTGTCCTTAATCTGAATAAAGCTCCGGTAGTCTGGGACTGTTTTCCCAACAATTCCATCAAGTCTCTCCCTGGTTCCAAGAAGAGGAAGGTTCGAAGAAAGCACACAGTGACCTTACTACCATGCCTGCCAGCACCCACTGATAATTAGCCCATCCATGTCAGACCTGCCCTGTTCCGCCTTCTATGATAGACAGTAATTTGGAATCTACCCCAAAGAATCAGCTGTGTCAGCTGCAGAGTTTGTGAGGACTGTGGGTAAGTTAGGGGTTGGGGCCCGTCTACCTGCAGACTTGGTAATTAGAAAGCTCCTTGACAAGGGGAGCAGCCTCTTCACTCTCCTCTCCACCTCTGTGGCTGGGCCTCTCTGAGGAATGAATGTCAGCCTCTTTTCCCAGAATCCTTTGCCAAACCAGTTTCTTTACATTCACTGAGCCTCCAGGAGGCAGCCAGGCAGCTTGATGCCCTTTGTGTTGGGAAAAAACTGATACTGAAGCTTCACACCTTAAGTCATTATTTTTACTATACCTTAAAAGGATAGTAAGGGGAAACTGTTTTAATAAAACATTTCTAACCCTAAGATCACGTAGCTGCCACAATCAATGCTGACTGCTCCACGGAGATATCATAAACCACAGCATGCATGACAATTGTACTCTTCACAACAGAAACCCTTTTGCTCCCCTCCGCTGCTTTCTGTCATGGCATCACCAGCATCTTTCTCAGCTCTGACCCTGCAAGTTCAAGGCTGCACAAGTTTGTTCCTCCTGCCTTCCTTAGCTATGAGGTCCTGCATGATACACAGATCACATAAAGCCAACAGATGCTCACATCTGCCTCTCATCCTTCGGGCTGGATCAAACTGAGCCAGCTCCTTCTCGACATAGTACAGGACCTTCATGGAGTCTCTCTCTTTGTCAGCTTGGATCCGGTAGCCTTTGCGAACTGTTGAGAAAGCACAAGAAGGTAAACTAAAAAAAAAGAAGAAAAGAAAATATCAGGAAAAGGAGGGCTATGTTCATTTTACCAAATGGAAAACATGGTTCCTAATTATAAAACTTATTTTGAAATCATCCAGAAATCACCTGTGCTTATATGTATGTGGCCATACCTGAAATCCTTTCCATTTGAATGGAGGACCTGAAGGTCAACAGCAAATTCCACTATAGTGTAGTTTAGTCATTTGATGCCCTCTGGTTCCTGTCTTCTGACCTCTTACCACTCCACTGAATGCTCATCTTCTCCAAACTTTTGAGCTCCCTGGGAGGAGTACATTCACACTAAAAAATACTACTTCCTAGATGGAGGACACATCACTCCAGAGTCAGAGGTTCACATCTTCACTGGGTGGGATCACACATCCCTTTAAAACAGATACCTAAACGTCAGGGACCTTGACAAAGCTCCCCCCTGCCCCCCGCAACCGCCCCAGAAGGCTCTCTAGTTGCCTGGGAGATGGTTCAAAAATTCCTTAATCTGTGTGGAACGTAAGAGCCAATATTAGATTCTAGACTGCATATACATTATTACAAAACAAGATGCAAAACACATGGATTTCTAATCATGGTTCCATTTTATTTCTTTAGCATTTTCCTTTTAGGAAAGAGAATACTATATTTTTAATCATGATTAATTCAACCTGCTGCAATGTGGTTACAAGCAGGTGTTACTTTCAGGGCTTAATAAAAAAAAAATCTAAGGCAGGGGAGAGAATACCATCTCTTACATCTCCATCACTTATATTGTCAGAGACAAAGGCTGTTTACACCCACACTACTTAAGTGTAAGCCTAGCCCAATGCCAACCCCAAAGGTGACCAGACATTAGCAGGCTTACTGCACAGTAATAGGAAGAAGGACAGTGAAAGAAAGGAATGATGGTATGGAGGTGGAACTATAAAGGTAATTAGACAACACTTATTAAGCACTGAAAGTGTGCTAGGTCCTGTGCTAAATGTTTACATGGGATTTGTCTCTCCAACTACTCTACGAAGTACTGTTATGAGTTGCATTTCGTGACTGAGAAAACTTTGGATCAGAGGTCTTTTTATATCTTTTCTGGGAATAATTTGGCAGTGTTGGGGCTGGGGCTGAGGCTGGAACAATTTAGTTTGATTCACTGTTGCTTCACTGTATCGGGGCATCTTTTCTCTCAATAGTCTAGGATGAGATATAGTTTTAAAAAAAAAAGGAGGCAAAGAAGAAAAGTAAGCAAAGCCCAGAGTAGAAAATGCTCTTAGGTGTATCATGGGTTGTATGGTCTGCAGCAGGGTCCTGTCTTCCAGCCAAGAGGACTGTACCTGGGAGTGGTGACACTCCCTGTCACCAAAGTGAGGCAAATATTGTAGCAAAAACACATGATTGCGTGTGCTCCAGAGAAAACCCTGCTGTATACAGTCTCTGGACTTGTAACCCTGACTGTGAGCAAAGCCCCACCCCCACCCCACAAGCTATTTACGTGGAAGATTAAAATATAAAATTCCACAGCACACTGATCACAACCCAGGCACTGAAGACAGAGAAGTCGCCCACACACCCACTTGCAGGTGCACTGATTCTCTGTATGAGAACATACTGGGCAGTCCACATCCACCTCAAATTGTGAAATTACTTAGGAAAAAACTAACAAATCTCAGAGCATGCTTTTTAGTAGCACCTTCTCCCAGAGGTTAGATCCATAATCCTTATGCGGAAGCAGTTATTAGCAGAAATGATTTTATTTATCAAGCTACACATTCTTCCCTCTCTGCAGAGGCGTTTACAGAGTAGTACAGACAGTTCAATTAAAATGCAATTATCCCACAGAACTGCTATGTCTGTACCAAGGCAGTTATGTCTAATGGATGAGACAGGACTGGGAAATGGGGAATTGGGCATCTTGTGGTCATGCTGTCACTGGTTTACTGGGGGACCTCAAATAAATGATGACCTGTCAGGACTCAGTTTTCTTGTCTATAAAATGCAACTAATATTTCCTACATTTTAAGTAATCTCTTAAAGAAAAGGAGACAGATAAGACCAAATCAGTGGAGCCTGTGGAGTTTTTTGTAATTATTTAGGGCAGCTCAAATACAGCCTCATCCTTGAAAGGCTGTCTGTCGTTTTCCATGGTTGGAAAAGGTCTATCTTTCTGTTGTATTTTCCTAATTTACAATCATTTAGTTTGAACTTTTGTTTTGGGCCTTAATATATTCTGGTTTGTTTCAAGTCATTTAGATAAAGGTCTAATCTCAAAATTCTTAAAGAAAAAGAATCTTTATCATTCAGTATCTCCAAGTGCCTAGGACAGTGTTTTACAAATAGTAGACCCTTAATAAATGTTGAATTACTGCCAGCTTGAGAATGGAGTAAGGTTATGGTTGCTTAGAGTATTTTCAGTAGTGCCCATCTATAGAGTTAAAACTCCATGAAGACTTTTCACCTCCATATCACGAGCATCTAGCATAGAGCCTAGCACATTATAGACATTCAAAACGTGTGTTCAAATGAATGCATGAAAACATGAATGAATGAGTAAACAAAAACTAGGAAAAGAAACTCTACTTTTCATGGATTATAAAGTATGGCATGTGCATCCATGTGGGTGGTTTACTGAAGAATTTTGATCAGGAAGGGTAAGTTTTGTGGTTACTATTATTGATAAGTAAAGAACACTAATTAAAGAACACTAAACAAAGAGCACTAGCATGTGTGTGGGACTAGGGAGAGGCCTCCTCTACCCGAAGCAGTGGCTTTATCTAGGTGTTCTTAATATGTGAAACACTTTTAGGGTAAGTCTCCAGTGACTCTGAGATACAGATCATGGGGGAGGGTTGTTGCAATATGGAGCTTCGCACCAGCTATCCCCTGGTAGAGGGAGAAGACAGCTGCACTGAACAACAGCTGGAGGATTCTCAGTTAATTGCCCTTGGATTGGAGCTTAGATGATTTTCTATGTCATTAAAAAAATTACACTGCTCATTATGGTACAGATTTGATTGTGTGCATAGGTTATCAGGTCTCTGAAAAGTTACAGTAACTACAGCCTCAAGTGAAGATAATAGTTTTGGCTTTCAATAATGACATTATAAAGAGACTCCCCTATACTAGATACTGTCACCTTTAACTGCTCAGTCATAGCAGTCTGTGACTTCAGAAGTTTAAATTAAGTCAAATTTGTAAAAACGAAGCAAAGTATTGATCATTAGACTTTAGGGGCATTATCCACTTGGATTCAGTAACTAAAAAATCTAGGTAATTCTTCCTTTTAAAAAATGTAGGTTTTTTTTCTTAATGGTAAGCTGAGAATTTGCATGACATGCTAAATTATTCTCTCATCCTGGCAGAATCTGGCTTTGTGTCACATATTTGCTCAAGAGCATATGAATCACCAGAAAAGCCTTTCTTGATCCCTCCTCTCCAAAGGCATGATTTTCCTTTCTGACCCTGCACCACAAAAATATCTGAACATATACTGCCTTATATTTGATATTAATTTTATTTCCATTCACCAGTCCCCAGCAATCACCCTGCTAGACTGTAGATTTCTTGCAGGCAGGGAAAATTTGTGGGCATTCATTAAATATTTCTTGATTTAAAAACATATAGGAGGGTGTCAGGTTGATGTTTTTCTGTACTTTGAAGATCAGAGAGCTTTCTGATGTGTGATGATATTTTAATAAGAAATGTTCTAGATGACTGGCCAGAGACCAGCATATTTGGAAACAGACTTTTTTCCTAGTGATGTTTCAGCTTGGGGTCAATGGATGATTTATTTCTGTTTTCAGGCTCAGCCTGGTTCTTTGGTTGCTGTGTTCATACTTCAACTCCTCCTCTTCTTAGCCTTGCCCACTTGGACTTTACTGGAGCGAGAGGATAGCGGCATATTCCCTCTCACAGCAAAGTATAATTTTTAAAATTTTTATTGTTAGAGGATTTGAGCTGATACTTTTGACCCAATTAAGGTGTAAGTATTTTTCAGCTGATTTCCCCTTTACAGCCAAAATCCAACTTGTTAAAGAAATCTTTGAGGTAGACTCCCATGGATAGAGCCTTGTTCTTCCTGTCCCCTTAATGAGCTAAGCAAGGCTGTTTATGGAGGATGGAACAGCTGCCAGATTCCACCCCCGGGGTGACAGCAGCTCAATTGTGGGAGAAGTGATTCTTAAAATTTGCATATTCTCTGTACATAGACAGTAGGAATATATATAAATATATATATATATATATATAATTAATTTTGAAGATGGCATTTCAAAACCCTACTTGTCTACTCCATTCTTTCAAAAGATGAGTTGAAGCCAGGTAGGTTGATGTGAAATAGATTAGAGTAAGGCACAAGTAGAGGGGAGAAGCTAGGAGAGCTGCACTGAGCAGAGTAGGAGGTGATGGCAGCACAGACCAGGACAGCAGGAGAAACAGAAGAAAGGAAACCAGTGCCAGGTTATCCTCAAGTACAACCTGAAGGACTCTGGCAACCCGCTGGATGAGGGAAGGGAGTGTTAAGGAAGGGTTAAGGATGAAATCTTTGCTTCCGGATTAGGCCAGTAGGTGAACAATGAGGCCATCCATGGATATAAGATATGTAGAATCTGTTTGAAGTAGAGAAGCAGCAGATTAATTCCATTTCCTAGAAGCTGAGATTTAAATGCTTATAAGACACCAGGTGGAGATGTCCAGAGGCAGTTGGATGTAGGGCCTAAGGACAGAAGAGAGGCTGGAGATAATAATTGGGAATCATCAGCTTATGAGTACAAGAATGATTGAAAAGGAGTATGAATATTTAAATTTAAATGTATTACAAAGCCAGGGTGTGGTAGCGCACACCTGTAATTCCAGCACTCAGGAGGATGAGACAGGAGAATCACTGTGAGTTTGAGGCCAGCTTGGGCTAAATAGTGAGTTGGACAATAGCACTAAACCAAATTGCAAGACTCTCAAAAAAA